ATATATATATATATTTGTAATTCATTCGTTCATTCCTTTCCATTTCTTCATTGCTACAAATTAGAATTTTTTTTCTCATTTTAACTTTTCTTTCTCTTCCTTTGTTTCCATGTATTTATGTATAAGTATAAATTTAAACGTGTAAATGCGCGAGAAAAGAACTCGAAGAATAACGATAGATGTACGCGATAACCTCGTTAAAAAAGGCTAAATCTCTAATCTATGATCTTTTCTTTTACATACGTTTAATTATACTGCGATTTCATGTGCAATCTTTTAACTCATAAATAATACATGCATCTTTAAAATCTAAGTTTTATTTTTACCTTTGAAGATTTGTTTTCCTGTTGTGTTGGCGATAATTCATTACAATGTTTTAATAAATTCGCTCCATCTCCATTTAGAGAACCACTGTGTGTGTGGCATGAATGAATTCTTGCCCGTTGAGAGAGGAGCAAGACTTGCTTACGATTCGACGAGGAGTTTGAAAACAAGGTGGGGTTGAGAGAGTAGAGCATCGAGGTAGAGAAGCTAGTAGAGAGGGGGATTGTAGCGTTGGAAGTAAAGTTATAGAGGTGAAACTCTCAACAGCGAGATTGCAGCATAGTAGGGAGAGAAAAGGAAATAGCGAGGGAGAGAGGGAAATGTGTTTGTATGTATGCATGTGGTACGCAGTGAGATCGTAACGTTACCACGAGTAGGTAAAAAAAGGGGATACACCAGATTCTTGCATGTACCGGCAATGGGAGAAGGATGGAAAAGGGCAGGTGAGTGCAGGTGCCGCAACCTACGACCGGAAACTATGTTCTTTACTCTTTGACTGTAAATGCTGTGCAACTCTATGTCTTCACTCTATGTCCTAGCGAAGAATCTCGACCGACAGAGAAAGAGATCTTCTTAACTGGGAAAGGAGACATTATCCGTGTAACCTAGAAATCTTTTTCGATGATAAAACATCTTCTCCTATATATCTTTTATATAGTGTATGAAATTTTGTTTAAAATATACTGTTTCAAAATATATTATATTTTGAAGAAAAGTATAATTCAAAATTATTATTAAAATAATGTAGAATTTTTAAATTTGTTATATATTTAATATAATAATATAAATTAATATATTTATAATAAAAAAAAAAAATAAATAAAGAAACAGAAAAGAAAAAACAATTTTTTTGTTTCAGGGAAATTATATGCGGTATTTGGAAAAAGACAAGGACGAGTGATTGCCGCGGAAAGTGCCCTCGGATTTGGTGGACAATTTCGCGTACTTGCAACTTTACCTGTACCGGAGAGTTTTCAACTTGCCAGGGAACTGCGAACTCAGACATCCGGGCTGGCCAGTCCTCAACTGGTTTTCAGTCATTGGGAGGCAAGTTTTTCCATATAAAGGGAACACGCGGTCAATATCTCGATATTTTTCCACTTTTCAATATCACGAAGTAATTATTAAATATTCGCAAAAATATATAGAAATATTCTTTATTTTTCTTTGGTCAATTCTATATTATTAATCAATTTTATATTATAATTAATCAATTATTAATTAATTACAAAAATCAAAATGATTTTTTCCCCAATAAATATATTTATTTATTTATTTATCTATGTTTATGTAGATCTTTATTTATTTTTATTTTTCTAACTATTTCACGAAGAAAATGATATACATAAAGTTATATATATATATATTCTAAATATGAATAAATTAGCATTTCATGATTTGATAAAAATATCAAGAAATTTAATCCGCTTAACAAGGCTAT